TAATTCTCTCTCTCACACACGGGATGGGGTGAGGTGGGGTTAAAAAAAAATAATCAAAAGACAGACCAAAAATCACAACTTTTTTAGGTCAATCTCATGATTTTTTTTGTGGGGGGGGTGCATCTGGGTCTGTTTTGTTTTGTTTTTTAAACTTTTGGGGTTGGCAAACCTGGAAATTACTGGCTGAGGTTCTGTGGCCTCTGTTATGCAGGGAGGCCAGACCAGATGATCAGAATGGGTCCCTTGGGGCCTTGAAACCCAGCCGTCTGTAGTGTAAAGCGTGATCAGTTTGGAACTGCTCTGTAATACTTCATGAATACTGTACGTGACCTGGTCCCTGGAACGTTTACCATAGGCACGGGCAGGTACTGAATCGATGCATTAACTGTATGATCAGGAAAGACAGGCAGACGGTAGCCCAGATAACAGCCGCTCAGCAAACACCCAGGACAACTGACACTAATGTTGCTACCCTGACTCAGTGTAACCAGGCTCAGAAAACACAGAACAAACGAGCTTTGGCTCGATTTAAAAGGCGTCTCAAGGACAGGGGGAGTGGAACCCCAGAGAGTTCGGGGTGACTGGGAAGTTGGAGCAGTATAGAGCCTTGTATAGGTGTCCATTTGCCCAGGTGCCCCCTTATGGCCACAGCCGTTTCTGCAGGGCCTTCCCTCCGCTCCCTCTCTTGGAGGGGGTCTTAGGAGCAGGGGCTGCAGCCCAGGGCCCCGGCTCAAGGGCTCCCCCTGTTCTAATACAGCGGGAAATGAGGTCAGAAGATCTCCCGGGAAAGTTCTGCTGAAGTGTCAGGCGCTGAAAAAATGGGCTCTGGGTTTGCAAGTATATCGTGTGATGTAGCACCCTCTGCTGGGCCCCGCAAGTCCCTAAGGGATTGTTTTCACTGCTGCATCAATGCAGCCGCACTAGTGTAGCACGTCTGGTAACGGTTGACGTAATTACTCCCCCTCAACGAGAGGCGGAAGTTATGTCGGCCGGAGAGCGTCTCCCGTGGTGTAGACACCACTTTAAGAGGGGGGGGGGTTTCCAGACCCCTGAGCAACGTAACTTACGCGGTAGCATAGACAAGCCCTAAGAGAAAGTAGGACCTGGAGACAGATGTGGCGGCTGGGGTTTTGCAGACATGGAATTCCAGTTTCATCCATGATGTTGTTGATGTAGCTATGAAATTAAAGTGTTTCACTAGGACCTGTGGCTTCCATACTGCGCTCGGGAAGAGATCAAACTGCCTTTCCTGGAGTTTGCCCCAAAAGATGAGTCTTTGCATCAAGACATGGCAGCAGCCTGTGACCTCGTTACAGCCTCATGCTGCGGGAACGTGTGCCAGCGCAGTGGCACCAACTCTCATGGTTTTTAATCACAGGTCTCACAATATTTGGTGCTTTTAAGCCCCAGCTTCTGGAGTCATGGGATTCCCATGAGAGACTCAGCTTTCATTTAACAAGCCAAAAAGAACCAGTTTCCAGCCCTTTGTGGTTGCAGCGAAAAGCTTGAAGGCATGGCCCCTTAACGATACAAAAACAGGAAAGGAAGTTTTAAGAGAGCCCAAAATGTGTGGTGTTTAAAAAAACAACAACTCCTCTTGACTTTTTTAAGGCAACCATTATCTGGGGGTGGGGGCCTAGTCCTGATTTTTAAATGCTTGGAGTTAGCAATCCTGGGAACATGAGCGTGCAAGGCACAAATTAGGCAGCGGGGGCTGAGCCGTACATTGCTCAGCAGGAAATGCTGGTCACAGTAAAACCAGCAAACAGCGACAACAGACCTCTGGGCAACCAGCGCCTGAGCGCTGTTCGGAGCCGGTGTACTGGGCATCTAGTTCTGCTTCTGCCAAAACTTCTCTCCCTCCCCACCCCCAGCTACGCTCAACCTCGTCTCACACAAAGTGCAAAAATACACACAGAAAGAGGAACCGAAAATAACGCACATGCCAGGCTCCGCTTACCAGGCCTGATTATCGCTTCCCCCTGCCAGCTGGCCTCATGCAGCCTGTGACATACGTCCCGTATTCTTCCTAGAAATATTGTTATAATATTCTAGCATAACTGTGATATATGTTGTACAAGATAAGGCATGTGAGATATCATTGGAAAGGTTGTTATTTGCTGAATAGGATGATCCTATTTGCTGGCATGTATCGTTTCTGTATCTGAAGTTAGGAATATTGACTATGTATCAATTACAAGTGGGTTTACACCCGGGGAACGCCCACCAGACAGAATGCAATCAGTCTGGATGGGTCATGAGGAAAGACAATAGGGCTTTGAAGATGCTGCTCTCCCACCTTCATGGAAAGCCTTCCTGTGGATGCTGCAAATAGACTTTGAGTCATGGCTGCAGGGTCATGTGATCACATCCTCCATGATAGAATACCAGTATTTTTCCACTGAATGTGTGTGTGTGGGGGGGGGGGGGGGGGGTGGAACCAAACTGGAAAACAAAGGATTCTCACCCTATGTAAAACCTATTTAATGCAGGGAAATGACTTAATCAGTGTTCATTCTTCACTGAATCCCGCCCAGAACGACTGCTGAAAACATCTAAGAAACAAAGACAAAGTGGGGGAAATGGACTGACCCCAGGCGAGAGCGTGTCCGGCCTGTGAAAGAAATACCTGGAGTTTCAAGCTGCAAGCAAGAGCAGCTGGCCTTCAAGAACCTCTGCAATCTGCCTAACACAAGTTGAGAAATTGCTAGTTATAACCAGTTTCTTTAGTATATTAAGCTTAGTTTGTTTCATTTGCTAGGTAATCTGCTTTGATCTGTTTGCTACCCACTTAAAATCTAGCTTTTGTAGTTAATAAACTTGTTTGTTTTCTCTAAAACCAATTTGTGGAAGTCTATAACTGGGGAGCAAAAACCTGTGCATATCTTCCTTCACATTGAGGGAGGGAGTGAATTTCAATGAGCTTACGCTGTAGAATTCTGCATAGCCTCTCCGCACAGCGCAAGCCAGTACCATTTTGGGTTTACAGCGGGGGTGTGCACTTGAGTGCTGGGCATTTCCCTAGCTGAGTCTTCCCACGCAGAACTGATTTCAGTCTTTCTGCAGCTGGGTGCATCCCTATCTGTGTGTGTGCTGAAGGAGGCTTGAGGGCCTGGCTTAGCAGGACAGCGTAAGGGAGCCCAGGCTGGTGGAACAGGCAGGCTCAGTGGTACCCCAGTACATCAGGTGGCACCCCGGGGTGGGCGGGGCAACCCATCACACAGCCTCTACATGATAGAATCATAGAAGTGTAGGACTGGAAGGTACCTTGAGAGGTCATTAGTCCAGTCCTCTGCACTCATGGCAGGACTAAGTATTATCTAGACCATCCCTGACAGGTGTTTGTCTAACCTGCTGTTAAAAATCTCCAGTGACAGAGATTCCACAACCTCCCTAGGTAATTTGTTCCAGTGCCTAACCACCCTGACAGTTAGGAAGTTTTTCCTAATGGCCAACCTAAACCGCCCTGGCTGCAATTTAAGCCCGTTGCTTCTTGTCCTATCCTCAGAGGTTAACGAGAACAATTGTTCACTCTCCTCTTTGGAAAAACCTTTGATGTACTTGAAAACTGTTCTCATGTCCCCTCTCAGTTATCTCTTCTCCAGACTAGACAAACCCAGTTTTTTCAAGCTTTCCTCCTAGGTCAGGTGTTCTCGACCTTTAATCATTTTTGTTGCTCTCCTCTAGACTTTCTCCAGTTTGTCCACATCTTTCCCAAAGTGTGGTGCCCAGAACTGCGCACACTTCTCCAGCTGAGGCCAGAGCAGGGCGGCATAGAGAAGAATTACTTCTCATGTCTTGCTTACAATGGAGTTTTAGCTGCTTATGTGTAAGTGTGAAGAGTCAGGGAAGGGGTTGCATTTGGTGCAATGGTCATCAGTGGGGCCCTGGTCTGCAGCTTCGTCAGTGAAACAACCCAATCCAAACCCATTTGCTAGAACTGTAGCCCTCTCGCCTTGTGATCAGCCCTCGGATGCTACCAAAGGGTCACCCCACAGGTGGCTGCATTGCACCAATGGGTGAAGCAAGCCCAGTAGAGGTCGTGTCCCACACAGAAGAGACTGGCCTGTCACGAGCACGAAGGGACTCGTTACGGAGGCTGCTGGCTGCAGACTGACCCTGTGGTTCTCTTCGGCTCTCATGCTGGGCTGCCCAGCGTTATCACAATCTGGCTCTTTTGTGTCTGTAACATTGAGATAACGTTTACCCACTAGAGCTGGTGAGAAAATGGTTTCTCCCCTCCCCATGGAAAATTTCAACAGTTTCAGTGAAAAAAAAATCAACAGGCAAAATAGTTCAATTTGGAAATGCTTCCATGGAGCCTCATGGGGGCTGTAGCTCAGATGCCTCCTGCCTCCACTCTCCTCTATAGACCGATTCCCTGCTTAGACTACATATCCCATGATGCATCATAATCTCCCCTGTTGGAGTGGTGAGGCCGGGCATCATAGGAGTCCCATGACCATGGTGCATCATGGGAGATGAAGTCCAGCTCAGGAGCCTGCCCCACAGAGGAGAGTGGGCACATGAGGCAGCTGGACTACAACTCCCAGGAGGCATGGCAGCAGGGATGAGAATCTATATTGTTCCATTTTCAGGCATTTGTTTTTGTTTGATAAAAACATCAAAGCTTTCCGCGGGAAGCAGGCAGAGACTCTCTGCAAAATATTTCATTTTGTCAAACATCCAATTTTCCACCTACAGTTTGGATGCAAAGTTTTTGACCGGCTGTGTTAGCCGTCTCATCGGGCGGCAGGGGCTACCATGTATTTGTAATGCTTTCAAAGAGCGTTGAGCTCCTCCAATGGAAGCCCCAAGGGAATCCTGGTGGAGGCTTAACAACAGGACAGGCAAGCAACGAACAGGGCCAGGGTGTCACCTCGCACTACCCAACCTGACACCAAACCGGGAGATCTGTATTTGTAGATGCTACTGGCAACATTGAATCAGTGCCCCAGGGACCATTCAGCCGGGATACAGAGCAAACCACCAAGCGAGGGACGGGTTATTCCCAACTGGGTTTATTTAAAAACAAAATCATGTCAGTCTCACCAGAACCTGTCACACCGGAGTAGGGCTGCAAGTGTGCATGGGAGCACAGCTGCTGCCATGTGTGCCAGAACACAGCAAAGCATCCTCCCCTTCCAACCCCAGAGAGGCAACGTCTCCAGTGGACAAGGACAGGGGGAACATGAAGCCACCTGCAGAACCCCGCCAGGAGGTGGAATCCAGGCCACCTCCCCCCTTTTGCTGCTGCATCCCAAGGGTTCAGAATCTGGGTTACGCGATCCCTCTCAGCTGTGTGCGTCTGACTGTCCCTACAGTGGGGCAGGACAGAACTCAGCAGCAGGGCGTGCATCACACAGGCTGTAACGGACTGGTGCATATGAATGAGGGACGCCGGGGCCACGGAGCAAATCCAGGATTTTGGTGGCTAGAGTTCTACAGCTCATATGGGTAGAGACCTGCTCCTCCGGAGCTGCTGGGCGAGAGTTCTAATCCCCACAGCGGCGTCTGTTGTCCGCAGACACTGATTCTTTCACCCACGCATCCCAGGGGGAGGGAGATGGCTACGTTTTGGGGCGGGGGGGGGGGAAAGAGGCTCCTAGAATAGGGACGATCCCGCGTCTGACTTTGCAAATCAAGAGGAGAAGGGCAGAGTATAAAAAAATGGCAAGCACGAAAGGCTAGTACAGAAGCCGAGGAGGAGACAGCCGCGGACGCTGAGTCAGAGATGCGGATACTCCACGATGCCAGCTCAGGAATCCAGCCGCTTCTTTGGAACAGTGCTCGGGGCGGCGGGCTCACATCTTGGGGAAGCTGGCCAGGTTGGCGATGCCGCAGGCGTTGTTCATGTTCCGGGCCATCAGGATATAACCCTTGTTGCCCCATCCCTCTCCCCAGCTGCGGAGAGAAAGGAGAGGGAGTGAAAAGCTCTGCCTGGATTCATTGGCCCTTCCCCAGCTCTGTAAGATCACCCTGGCCCAGTGCCACCTTTCCTCACCACGGGGCTCCTGGCAGAGGCTGCGGCTGCACTCGGAGGCAGGCGCCCTTAGAAGGCACTGGCTGGCATTGTATTACCTGTTCTTGATGATCCAGTGTTTGCTGCCCTTCTGGGTGCCGTATCCCACAGCCAGCACCGCGTGGTTGATGTTCTCAGCGTTGCAGCTTTCATCGTAGTACACACCTGGGGGACGGAAGGCGGGAGTCACTCACGGGTATAACAGCACCAGACTGGACCAGCCCCTCAGCCCAGCTAGCCCAGAATCTTGTCTCTGATAGCGCAAGAACCCCACAGTTGGTGGATGTGGGATAATCTGCCTGCCATGTTAGATCTCATCCTGGTCCCTAATAGCTAGAGCTAGGCTTAAACCCATCCCCCTCTCCGTGCCTCAGTTTCCCCATCTGTACAATAGGGATAATGATACTGACCTCCTTGGCAAAGCGCTTTGAGATCTACCGATAACCCCTAGCTCTTATCTAGTGCCTGTTATTAGTAAATCCTGAAGCACAAGGTTTAATATCCCTTCCAAAAACGGTGCGAGTTCATGGCAACAACTCTGGCTGTGCGTGTTATCTACATAAAGGTCTCAGCTCTTTTGGGATCTTGTTAAGTTCTTGGTCTCAACGCCTTCCTATGGCAATGAGTTATGCAGCCCAATTACACTCGGTGTGGAAAAGACTGGAAATGAAATGCAAGTTGTTAACAGTGAGGGTAATTAACCACTGAAACAATTTACCGAGGTGCAAGGTGGATTCCCCCTCACAAGCAATTTTACAGTCAAGACTGAACTAGATGGCCTATCTAAGGGTATGTCTACACTACAGGATTAATCCGAATTTAGATAATTCGAATTTGGGAAACAGGTTGTATAAATTCGATTGTGCGCGGCCACACTAAGCACCTTAATTTGGTTTTAAACCACATTAATTCGGTGGTGTGCGGCCACACTAACCCTAATTCGAATTAACAAAATCGATTTAGGCGTTACTCCGCTCGTCGAGGTGGAGTACAGAAATCGATTTAAAGGGCCCTTTAATTCGAATTAACTGGCTCTGTAGTGTGGACGGGTGAAGGGTTAATTCGGATTAAGGCAGCTAAATCCGAATTAAAGTCCTAGTGTAGACCAGGCCTTAGTAAAACAGCCCAACGGGAGTTAATTCAGGGGAGTCCTATGGCTTGTGTTAAACAGGAGGTCAGACTATCAAGTCCAAATGTCTTGATCAAGGTGTAGTCAAAGATCCAGACTCCATAGAAAACAGTAATAAGTAAATAAAAAGATTTGGGGGTCCATTCAAAAATGTCCAGCAGTCCAGATTTGGCCCGGAGTCCGCCTATCGACTACCCCTGTTGGATGATCACCCTGGTCCCTTCTGGCCTTGGAAGCTAGGAATCTATTTCCTTTTAATCCGTTTCAAATTTGGCCACCTTTTAAATGCCATCAGCTGTCCATGCAAAGCATTACAATCAATGCTAGGTGCCGTTAGTTGTTACGCTGATTGTTACGAGTCAGCCCATTGTAAAGCAAGATCCTCACCCTGCAGGCAGCTTGGGCACGCAAGCCTTCAAACACACACACCCTGTCCAGGGTGTCATCATTAGCATACAAGGGGGCACACTACACACAACTCACTGTGTGGGGGAAGCTATCCCAGAACCCAGCTCCTGTCTCTTCTACCTGTGTGTGGCACTTCGCATTAGATCAAGGGAAGCCCTTGGTCAAAATTTCTCCTCTTCATCTGTCTGCCCAGCGGCTGCCTTCCACCCCAGAGGTGGCTGCATTTCCGTGGCGTTGCACAGCACAGAGTGGAAGGTGTGATGATGATGATGGAGTGGGATGAAACACAAAGAGTGGGGTCTGACCCTCCCCTCGATGCCCAACGTACCTGACACCCCCTTCCACCAGCAAAAGCCAAGGCGGAGTAGACCTCACCCTATGGGCAATGCCCAGGCCATCACCTGGGACTCATAAGGTTCCACTCTTCCTACCTCTGCTGTAGAACTGGAAGGACGACAGGCTGGCATCAATGCCCACAGATACAGGCCCCACCCTGGCCACAGCTCTCTTCAAGGCCTTCTCATTCCCTTCTGGGATTTCCTTGTACCCGCGACACTTGGCGGCTTTTCCGGTAGGGCTGTACATACAGCTTTCATCCTGCAGGGGGCCGAGAGAGCAGGTTGCAATTTCACTGTCAAAGGAGGTTTTGGGGGGATGGAAACTGGCTGTTTTGTCGACGTGGAAATTTCCAGGAGATTCTGATGATTTTTTGCTAAGTTTTATAGAAAATGCTTCTCTTCCAAAGCCCCGCCCCCCTCGTGTTTTTGGCAACCAAAAATGAAAAGGTCTGGCCGGTTTGACAGAACCGACCGGCTGACATTTTTCCTGTTTCCGGTTGCAAAAAAAACCCACGTGTAAAAATTTTGGTTTCCAATAAAAACTCGGAAAACTTTGTGGAAAACAAAAACGTTTTCAATTTCATCCAAATTTTGTGCTGGGGAGAAAATAAATAAATAGAATTTCCCAGCCTGCTCTTGTGATTAGAGCCAGGCAAGAGCAAAATACCGGGTAACCCCGGATGTTTTCCTGATACCCCAGGAAAACATCCTCCTCCATCATCCTGGTCAGGAGCTTGGAACAACTGTCCCAGGGAGACAAGGACACCTGCAGAACCCATCTGGGGTTTTACGTGATAACTGCCCTGCTGGGGCACGGGGCCGGGGTCAGTACGCAGCAGCCTGGGTGCCCTGGAGAACGCTGCTAGCTCTGTAACGAAGCTGCTGCTGCTCATTCCCGGGCACTGCGTGAACTGTAAGTGCAACATCCAGCCAGCACAGCTCTCTCACAATCTCTCCAGCACAGAAAAGGGTAGTGTGGCCAGAGGGGGCCTGCTCAGGACGAAGTAGCAGCAGCAGTCTGGGAGCTGTCTGCAGAAGAACGGCCAGGTAGCAGGTAGCGTGGGAATTAGGAGTGACAGGTTGAGAGCTGGGCCGCGGGTGGATTAGTAGCCAGGGCTGGTGGATAGCCAGGAGGCTCAGCTGTGAGTCGAGCTGGGCAAATAACTGATTTTTCGAGTCAGGTTGAACCAAATCTGAAATATTTCCAGTGGTTTTGATGCATCAAAGCAATCGGGGCTGGGGCTGTTCAGGGGAGCCGGGCCTGGAAACGGGGGCTCCCGCCTGCCAAGGGAGTGCCCTGGCAGGGCTAGAAGTTATAAAGGGGGGCACAGCACCACCATCGCCACCGCCGCCTCTTCTTGGCGACTGGCCGAAACGATTCACGTCAAAATCGGGGCTCGTTTTGCCTCGACCAAAACTGCATTTGTCCTGGAGTAAACTAGGTGTCCTGGACGTTCTGCCCGGGTCTGGTGAGGAGCCCTGCCCTGTCCCAGGAGCTCTTAGATCATGGCACAGCTCCCTGCATCAGGCGTCTGCAGGAGACGCAGAGCAGCTGCCAACGGGCAGGTAGTGGGAGGCATCTCGACAGGGCAGGGCTGGACCAGGTTACTTCCCCAGCGGCAGCAAGGGGGCAGCAGGAAATCAATGGTCACTAGAGTCGTCATCTAGTGACTACCCCTTACCTGGGCTGGATCAAGCCAGCTCCACTCACTGCCATCCTCTGGGCAAGAAGGTGGGAGACCCTCTCACCCAGCCTTGCAAAATTCTACTCCAAGGTGTTAGCAGCTGCATTGCCCTTGGTGTCAGAGGGAAGACGACCTCACGCCTGGGCTGGTGCATAGCCATAATCCCCCCCCTCCGCCCCTAACTGCTCTCATCTCTATCGCCAAGTTGATAGGCAGAGCCGAAGCCGGGGCACTGACCTGGCCGATGTAGGGGTAAGAGTCCTCCGAGTCGATGCCCCTGTTCTCCTTCACGTACTCGAAGGCGTTGGTCATGTAGCCGCCCCCGCAGCCGTCGTTGTTGGTCACGCAGTCGACCAGGTTCTGCGGGCTGAGACCCAACAGCTTCCCCGTCTGCCGCTTGAGCTGCCCCTCCAGGGCCCCGACGGAGCTGAAAGCCCAGCAAGAGCCGCACTGACCCTGACGCACAGGAGGGGAGATGGTCAGAAGTGAGAGGCTGTTCCCAGCCCGAGGGGCAGGAGGAGCAGAGAGGGAGAGCAGAAAGCAGCCAGCGTTGGTGGCTATTTCCCCCACTGAAATGTAAGGATCTCACAGCAGTCAGAGTCAGATCTTGGTCACCCTGGCGTAAATCCGGAGCCACTCCACCTCCGTGGAAAGGAACCCAGACTCCGGCCGCTGGCTCTCTGAGCTGGTCCTGAAAAGTCCCAGCCAACAAGCGAAGTGCGGTGTAGGGCAGCCATACGGTTCAACCGGAGTGGACAAGGAAGCGCCGAGCTCGGAGAACAGCACCGCTTACCTGGTTCTTCACGGGCGTCACGTAGCCCTTCTTCCTCCAGTCCACCGAGTCCGGCACCTTCTCCTCCCAGTCGGGAACGTAGACCGTGTCATTGCTGGGCCCACGCGACGGAGGGACCTTCAGCCCCGTCATCTTCTGCACCACCTCCTCGCTGGTCTAGGGAAGGAGAGGCGGACGTTTGGCAAAGCCGGGTGCTGGCGGACAGTTTTGTAGTCGCCATTGGGCCTGAGCTGCGTTGGCCCAGGGCGGCAGGGGCAGTGACCCAAAGGCACTGCCTGGGGAATTGCACGGTAGAGGAGAACTTTAGCATGGCTAAACCTGCCGGGCTGGCACCCGCCCTGGGTGGAGAGGAAAACGAGCTTCTGCCAAGAGAGAATGCCCCTCTCTTGCCCGGCCGTGAACAGTGTTTAAGCTGGTGCGGCATGGACCCAGGGGTCAAAGCATTCAGACGTGGAAGCAGGTTGTGCCACTAGGGTCCGGCGGCCAGACTCGGTGAACGGACAGTCGGGGATAGGAACAAAGACCTGCGCTCAGACGCTTGGTGAGATCTTCTTCCCCACCTTGTTAGCGTATGCATCACAGCAGCACCTTCACTGGGCTGGAGCAGGGGATCAGTGTGCGGGACGGGGTGAGGGCTCTAAGTGGGGGTGCGGGCTCCGGGGTGAGGCCAGAAAGGAGGGGTTCAGCGTGCAGGAGGGGGGCTGCGGGCTGGGGCAGGGAGTTGGGGGCTGGGAGGGGGTGCGGGCTCTGGGGTGAGGGCAGCGTGCGGAGCCCCGTGTCCCCCACCCAGGAGATGGACCTGCTGGCCGCTTCTGGGACGCAGCACGGTGCCAGGACAGGTAGGGACGAGCCTGCCTGAGATCCCGCAGCACCGCCGACCGGACTTTTAACGGCCCATTGGCGCTGACCGGAGCCGCCAGGGTCCCTTTTCAACCAGGCGTTCCGGTCGAAAACCAGACACCTGGTCACCCTAAGCCGAACACCCCGGCGATGACTGTGGGATAGACGGACAGAGGGTAACATTGCTGCAGCGCCTGGGGATAATTATTCGGAAATACCCTGGCATGTCATCCACCTACCATGTCCCCCAGGTGGTTCATGGCCAGTTCGTAGGTGTGGGTGCCCAGAGAGAACTCCAGGTTGTGGGTGGTGATGTACTTGAGGTTCTTCTCCCAGATCAGCCGCCGCGAGAGCTCGTCCATCTGCGAGGCAAGGAGGATTCAGGAATGGAAACACACCGGGCCATTGGACACCAAGGGCCGGACCCTGCTCAGACTCCCGCCGGCGCTAGCTTGGGAGCTACAGCAGGGTCTGGAGCCCACGTGGTGGGGGGGGGAGAGTTATCGCTGTCCCAGTGCACCGCAGAGATCGAGAGCACTGGAATAGGGCCTCCCATATTGCCCTGGATTGGCAAGGTGATGTCCCGGGTCTTGAACCCAGGCCTGGGAGTTCCCAGACACCTGCCACCCAATGGCTACTGACGCCCACTGGGCTGAGAAGCTACCAGGGCTATAGCCCCACCCCCAGGAGCTTTGATTGGAGGATCGCCCAGCTCCACCGATTGGTCCAGCTATGCTATTTAAGGAGGAGGAATAGGAAGTTTGTCTGAGGAACCAGGTGGTTTCCTGTTGTGGCTGCGTCGGACCCTGCTTGTGCCTGGCCCCCGCACCCCGTCCTGTTCCTGGTTCCTGTTCTGCTCCTGCCTCACCCCTGCTTTCGCTGCTCCTGTTCCCACCGTGCTGGCCTCCCGTCCTCGGTGACCAGTCCCGGCTCCGACCCTGGCCTCGGATTTCTGCCCTCGGCTCCGGCCTTTGGCGCCTGACCTCGGCTCTGACCCTCAGCTTCCATGGCTGGTTCTCCCTCTGGCTTGATCCCTGGCTCTGGGAACTGGCAGTTGACTCTGGTGCTGACCCTTGGCTTCGTTCCCCAACCTGTACCCCGCTCCACCCACTAAACCTGACCGCCTCTATCCATGTCCATAAGAGCCAGTCAACATCCATGCAACATCCTGGCGGCACGTGATTGCTTTCAAGCTTCATTAGAATTCCCCGGGCTGGCCAAAGCAGTAACAGGGTCCCTTGTCCCTGGGGGGAGGGACAGCTCAGTGGTTTGAGCATTGGCCTGCTAAACCCAGGGTTGTGAGTTCAATCTTTGAGGGGGCCATTTAGGGATCTGGGGCAAAAATCTGTCAGGGGATTGGTCCTGCTTTGAGCAGGGGGTTGGACTAGATGACCTCCTGAGGTCCCTTCCAACCATGATATTCTAGGATTCTAACAAGTGGCTGGGGGGTGCCGCGGATGGCCCTCACCTTGTGTGCCAGCGGGCCAAGGTTCAAATCCTGGACATGCCTCATGCAGGGGATAACTTGGGACCTCTTATGCAGGAGGGTCAGGCTTAGTGGCTCATAAGCGTCTAGTCTAGCCTTAAGCTATAGTCCTACATTCCCCCAGGGTCATACAGCCACTCGGCCTTTCCCCATTGCTAGGTCCTACCCTCTTTTGGGGGTCTCCCATAACCCCTCTGCCACTGAACTTCTAGCTCCACAAGACCTGCTCTGCCCATAACACTAATCCCTCCACGCCGCACCTTTCCAGCCCCAAAGCACTTGATCGGCCACTCGAAAACCAGCTGCCGCATTCTCAATAAACCTCAGTGCTCCGGCTGCAGGGGGCCTCACTCTCCGCACCCACTGAAGCTGGGGCAGAGTGGGTGTAAAGTGCTACCGGTCCCCCTGACGTGGCAGAGCTCTGCAGCGGTGCAAGCGGCAACCACAGGAGGGCGAACCAGCCCCACCGTCTTTAGCAGAGGAGACAGATCTCGGCTCTGGATCTGGATCTGGATCTCTCTGCGCGCTAGCAGCGCGGCTGCTGCTTTTGGGGCCCGGCCTGCCGAGCGTTCAGCCCCACAGCTATGCTGAAGCCCAGTCCCCGAAGCGTCCTGACCCGTATGGAGCTGCCAGACTCCCCCGCCCCGGGTACCTTGCCGTTGTACTGTTTGTGGTAGGTTTTCTTCCATAGCTCCCACTGGGAATCCAGCGCCTCCTCTGGGTACACGCTGGCCTTCACTGCCGGGAGCAGCAGGGCTAGGAGGCTGATCCACCACATCCTGCGAGGGCGGAGGGGAAAGCCATGAGCAGGGCAATGTAGGAGGGCAGCATTGGACAGGTTAAAGCGATACGAGACACCCGCCCCCCACCCCGGACAACCTCCAACCGCACTGGGTCAGTACAGATCCCCCTGGCACTGTATAGGTTGCACCCCCTGCATGCACAACACATGGCAAAATGTGGGCCAGGTCCCCCTCTAGTGGCCAGTCCGCATAGAGGACAACAGCCTACTACAGCTGCCAGAGCTGCCCTTTTAGCTCCAGTGGTGGAAGTCCGGGCTGCGGAGCTGAAAGTTCAAACCCGGCTGATGACCCACAGGGGAGGGGGTGTCATGCCCTGTTCTAACCCAGCTGCAGCTCAAGCGATTGCCTCCTGTGTGTTACCCCTGCGGCTGCAGGTAGCCGGGGCCTAGCGTTGCTGCGGGGAGAGGGAGGGGCTCCGGCCCTGCCCCATCCCGCACCGCGCCTGCCCCGTGACTAGAATGAGGACTTTGCTCCTGAATTCTGGCGACACGGAGCCCTCAGAAGCACTCCGCTCCCCAAAGCCTGGCCAGAGGGAGGGGTTTACATGGGGCCGGTCAATGAAAAACTCAGCGTGAGCCAGGCTCTTCTTTCACTAGCCGGATCCCAGCCCCTGGACTCCCCCGTCGGGCGCGCAAGCAGCCGTCACATGAGCCTCAGCAGCTGTTTCCCATTAGGGCCTTTTGGCGGACGCCTGGGAGATTCTGGAGGAATGCAGGGCAAGCCGGCTGGGCTCGTTAACTCTCCTTCACAGCAGCGCAGCCTGGTGAAGGCCAGCCCGGGATAAAACCCACCACGGCTCATTGCTGCCTCTGCTCCCCCCCAGTTCAAGGCATTTCCCACAGGCGGGTAACGTTCTCGCCACCTTACAGATGGGGAAACTGAGGCACAGAATGAGGCCCGGACTGGCCCGAGGTCTTGCAGCAAGTCAGAGGCCTTGCTGGGAACAGAACCCAGGTGTCCTGGCTGCCAGTTGCTCTAACCATTGGGCTGCCCTGCCTTCCCTTAAGCCTGCTTTCCCCATTTCCCAGCCTAGGAAATGCAGGGCAGCGTGGGGAAGGGACGTGTCCCAGGGGCATGGAGCTGGGTGTAGAATGCAGGTCCCCCGACGGTCGCTCCTGCCCTCAGCAGCTCCCGGGATCAAGCCCCGAGCTCCCACGTCACAGCCAGCGTTATCACCGCTGTCACGCTCGCCTCAGCTCCCTCTGCCCACGTCCACCCTCCAGCCCTGCCCGGCACCCAGGATGAACGGACGGCTCCTCCCGCTCTGCCACCACCCGCCTTCCCCGGGCTGAGCTCAGCTTCCTAAATCCTTCAGAAATCAGGGACCACCAGAGCGGTCTAATGGCTGGAGCGCACTGGACTGGGCACGGAGCATCTGGGTTCTGTCTCTGGCATGACCCTAGGAGAAGTCACGTCTCCCGTTCCGTGCCTCAGTTTCCCCTCTCTCACCTTTTGTCTGCCTGGTCAATTCTGAGTGGAAGCCCTTGAGGGCGGGGGCTGTTTCTCACTCCAAGTATGCACCAGACCTAGCCCAATGGAAGCCCAGGAAAGCCTCCAAGCGCTCCCATAAAACTAACAACAAGCCAGACTCCCCGTTCGGTTTACAAGCCGGGATCCCAAACTGCTTCCGTTCCCCTGGGCCTGGGGGAAGTTCAGCCCCAGCAGCAAACTTCTGAAACTGCCCCAGGCCTCTGCAGGTTGGTCCTGCTGCTTGGGGGAGAAGGAAATGAAAGCGAACAAAGAACTTATTCCGAGAGCAGCGAAAGCTACTGCCTAGGGCTACAAAACCTCTTCTGCCCCCGAGGGAAAGCTCTGTAATCTGTACCACAGGGCACAGGTAGGAGAACCTTTCTGCATCGTACCCCACAGACTCACCCAGCAGCCCTGGCGGCTATGTCTGCAGAGACATCAGATCCCCCTTTGCTGCTAAGAAGGAAAGCGGGGCTCACCTGTAAGTCATGGCTGCTCTCGGATACCAAAGTTAGCAACCGCTTCTCCGTGCCCCGAAGAGACGCCAAGCGGAGATGAGAGCCGGGATGTTGCACCTCTGCTCGCCTGCTAGTTCTTTTTATGCTGGCTGGATTGAGGAAGTCGGGCAGGCGGCTGGAAAATATGGGCTGTCAGTTTCATGCAGGGTTTACTCAGATTTGCATATGGGCCTGGCCGGGGAGTGGGGGGGGCTGCAGGGAGCGGTGCTGGCTGGGTGTTCGGTTTCACATGACCTGCAGCTGCCTGCAGAACTTAGTCACCTCGGTGCTTCCCAGGCCCAGGTCTCACCCGGCCTTGCCCCCTGGGGAGTCATTTGCACCTGGGCAAAGCGGGTGCAGGGGAGAACTTGGGGGTGGGGGGCTGTGTCTATCCCTCCCCCAAAGCCCCAGTAGGACCCAGATTTCCTGAGCATACACCCCCATCCCAGGGCACACAATCCCCACCCTGCCCCAGATTGGGCAGGCGCTGAACCTCGCCGGGGAAGCCCAAAGGACACTTCGCTTTTAATGCCGCCCCTTAGAGTCCCCGCCGCCCCTACCGAATCCATCCGCAACCCATGGAGGGTCGTAGCCAAGGAGGTCTTGAGCACCCCGCGTTTCCTCTGGCTTTGGGGCAGGTCACCCCTGGCAGGATTAGTCCCAGAAGGGGCTGACCTTCAGCCCCGAGCGCCCCTTGTTCCAGCTGCAGCAGATCGGAGCTGCGGGCGCTCGGCCCCTTGGCAATTTAACCCCGTAACTAGCTGCAGGAGTCACTTGGGTCAATGCAAGGCTGGGCCTGGCCCCCATGGGTCAGCTCGGTACTTGCGTGATGCCACCTCTTAGCGGAGGCACCGGGGGATTGACCCAGTGACCTCCAGAGCTCAGAGAGCAGGAGCAGCTACAGCTTAAGCCACACACACACCCACCTCTCTCCCCCCAGCCCCACATCCACCCAGCCCAGGCGCGGGACCAGGAACTGAACCCACCAATTGCAGCCGTGGAGGAGGGCGCGAGCTGCGGATCAGCAGGCGTTACATGTCCCCCTCTGTGCCTGATCCCCTGAGGCTGCTCAAGCTGTAGAGCAGTGTTTCCAGGGGCTTTTCTTGTGGCCACACAGGCTCCTGGGCTGGGACTGTGGGAGCGGGGAGGGCAGCAATGCACCCCCTTGGTGTTGAATGCTGGGGCCACCAGCAGGGGTTGGGCCATGCCCCCATCTGGAGACCCCTGGAGCACAAAGTTGGAGGAGGAACAGGCAGCCGGTCAGTTCCCCACCTTCCCAGGGGCATGGGGCTCAGGGCTTAGGCTTCAGCTTTGGGGAGGGGGGCAGCAGGCTCTGTCTGTGGGGCTGCAGGCTCCAGCCCCCAACTGTCTGCCCTGGCCACCCCCCCCCCCACCATCTCCCCTGGCCCCCGCTGCCTCCCCCGACCCCCCATCCAGGGCTTAATATGTCCCCAGGCTTGCTGGGGCTGAGTAAGTCTGCTGTGAAAAGTGATATTAACAAACATACGCGTATCACTTTTCACAACAGACTGACTAGCTCGCAATAAATACATGACAATGCGTTGGACGTGTGGCTGTGCATAATTGGTTTGGTTTTCCTAAAGCTAATCAAGTATTTTAAGAACTAATGTGAGTGCGGCCACCAGAAAAGTTGGTGGCCGCAATGTGAGGCCACCAAATAATTTGTCCGGAGAACCCCTGGAGACTCATGTGCTTAGCTAGGGAGGGCCCAGGTTCAATCCCCAGGGCCAGCCAAGAGGTTGCTCAGCGATTGACTCAGATGCGTAGCTTGCCGCGGAGCGGGGCTGAAGCTGTCACAGCTGCAGGGGAGCAGGAGGGAGATCGGATTCAGGGCCAAGTGGGATTTGACCCTATGTGCCTCTAAGGGCAGGACTCAGGTTTCCATAGGCCTCTGAATTCTTGGTCCCCCAGCACAACACAACAGCTGATGCCATTTGGGCTGGTTGTAGCAAGGGACGGAACCAAAGAGATCCAGCAAATGTGTTCCACCCTTCTACAGTAACACCTAGGAGTCCCGGTCATGGAGCAGGGCCCGAGGGCGCTAGGCGCTGCACATAGAACAAATAGACAGTCCTTCCCCCAAAGAGCTTCCCGTTTAAGTAAAGGCATTAGCTAGAAAAATCGGTGCCTGGGAATTTCAAAGCTGCCCCAAGGACTGGATTAAAGTTAACAGGAACCTGGCAACCAGCTCATCAGCTGCTTTGCGCATCATCCCAGCCTGAATGACTCTTATCCACGCATCCCGTGGCTTCCCCGTCGAACTGGTCAGAAAACCTTCCTCTTATTCATACCAAAGTACGGCGTTCCATACAGACACGAGCCGCTCAAGGTGACCCCAATGTCATCTGCCCGGCTAATCTGATCTAGCGCTTTTCATCCGTAGGTCTCAAAGGGCTTCACAGTGGAAATGGGGAAACTGAGCCGGGACACGACTCTCCCAAGGTCGCCCAGCAGGTCAGTGGCAGAGCCGGGTTATAGAAACCAGGTCTTTTGAGTGGCAGCCCGGTGCCCTTCCCACTAGGACATACTGCCTCTGGCCTATCTTTCATGGCTCTAAGCTTGCGGAATCATTTCAACTAGTGCAAAAAATGCTGTCGTATTAAGTTGGCGACATTTGACCTCGGTTTTGCGCTGCTGTAAATGACCGCATAAGCGACAGAGAATTGCGCCATCTTACCTAGTTCTATTAGGTGGGTCTAACCTGGGGGGGGGGGGGTGACAGCAAGGTGTCAGGGGGCTCCACTCCCATAGGGCTGGATAAGAAGCCCAGCTCTGTCCTGAGTGTTATGGCACCTTCTAGTGCAGAAAGGCAGAACAAAGCCCAACAGCCAGCGGTTAAAGTCACACAAATTCAGATTAGGACTCAGGCACCAACTTTGACCAGCGAGGGTGATTAAGTTGCTTCCCCACGCCTTATCTTCTAACACAATCCGGCTGCCTTTCTGGAAGGGACGTGTTAGCCAGACACAGACTATTGGGCTCTATCCAGCAGTAACTGGGTGAAGTTCTCTGGCTTGTGCTATACAGGAGGTCAGACGAGATGATCTAACAGCCCCTTCTGGCCTTACCGTCTACTGATCTATGAATAAGCAGGAAGGGACAGCTATCTTTTTCCAAAGAGCAAGATAATTCCATGTCACCCTCAATTAGACAAAACACCATTAGAGACCACGCTGCTGTACCAACACAGACTCAACAAGCCACAAAACCAGGGCCACGACCGTAAAGACAGGGCGTAGATGGGTCATACCCAGCCATCAGATCTGATGGAACAGAGCAAATCTAACTTAGAGAATTTTTTCACTTCAAGGTCCCAGAAAGAAAGGCAAGGTTTTCATCTCGAGGCCAGAAGACCAAAAATGCATACCCTCCGTTTGGATAATTGAGCGTAGGTCGGCCCTGCAACCGGTGCGGGACTGCAGCTCGGGTAGGCCCACCAGGGCTAGCTTTAATATAGCTACTGTGGCTAACGATAGCAGCAAAGACCCGGCCGGCATGGAGCCTGGTGTGGGCCAGCAATGCGAGTAGGTACCCAGGTATATTCGCAGCAGACACACAGGGAAGCTAGATAAAAAAAAAAAAATACAAATTAACACGACTTTCTTGCTTAGAATTCAGAACAAGAACACACACAAACCCCCCAAAACAGACGCAAACGCAGGCGTGGATTGACTTTCTGCTAGACCCAGATTGCACGTTTCCCTACGGAGCCCCGTAACCTGCCCACAGTGGCTGGAAAAACCTTGCAATCTCAAGTGACAGCCTACAATTTTTGACACAGTTTTAATACACCATCCTTAGCTGCCACTGCATCTTCACTGCTATCTTTAGCCGTGCTAGCTAGATGAAAACTAGGTGGGGATGCCAACCCAAGCTGCAATCATACCTCTTGTAACACCTTGGAATGTTAAACCAAGGAGGGGCCCAGTCCAAATCCCACTAAAGTCCAAGGAAAGAAGAGGAGTTGGATTGGGCTCTAAAGGCCAAACACAAATCCAGGGCAGAGTTAAGGTTATTTGGATGCTGATCACTGCAAAATGGTCTGTGTGCCGGAGTTGTTGATTAGAATGTTAAATTGACGGATTTCCAGTTTTTAATGCTGGGGGGGGAGGGGAGGATGGATGTGTTTAATTCAGAGTGTCCTTTTGAACTGCATTTAATAACTGCGTCTCAACCAATCTTTGTGGTTGTGGGGGGGGGGTTTACAATCACCACTCAGCTGACTGCAGTCAAGCCTCATTTTTCCATTCCCAGAGCAACACTGGCTCCCCCAACCCATAGAAGAACCCCACCCCCTGGGGAGCAGATTCCCTGCTATTTAGATTGGAGGCTCTTTGGGGCAGGGCCTGTCTTTGTTCTGTGTTTGTCCAGCACCGACAGAGCCCTGGTCGTAACCAGGTGCTTTACTACTACAAATAATTAAAAACAGCGACACCGGCCAGGACATGGGAGTGGAGGAGCAAAGCCCCTGCAGTGTGGAAACGTGCTCACCGGCAGACAAAAGGTTCCTCTCCCTGCCTGGAGCAGTGGCTCAGGGCAGAGGACGGCACTCAGCAGACCAGAAAAGCTGACTCCTGCTCTCTGAGTAAAGGTGCTTTCTGGCCTGATGCACACGCAGGGTCAGCAGTTCATGAAGCAGCCCGTCCCTTGGCAAGGCATGGAGGAAAGCAGGTGACTTGCAACAAGGAAGCAGCCTTGGCTATTAGACAAAAACAGGAAGGGAGAATCAGCGTCGAAAACGACTGCCTCCTGCAGCCCACCAGGGGGCGCTGTGCTTGGCACTACTGATCAAAGGAGAGAACAAGTGGCTTATTACCCCAGGTCTGTCTCCTGTCTCTCCCCTTCCAGGCTTACAATCAGAGCCCAGTTCTTACACACCAGGCCATTGCAGGTTCTGCCTAACGAGCATTCCCATCAACCCCACTGAGATTCACTCCCAAGCTTACCCTTCCTGTCCAGCACAATACAATGATCCAGGGACCGATTCTGCTGGTCCCTCAAGAGCTGGGGTGGGGTAGAGAATAACCACACATTACATTATTATTTATTCCTAGTGCAGCTCGTGCTCAGAGGCCTCCGTTAAAACACAGGGAGATCTGGGACCCTGCCCCAAAGGACTTACATTGTAAAAACAGAGCAGTGACATAGTTCCAGGTGACCGGGGCATATTTTGGAGACAAGACAACAAGAGCCCTGCATTAGCCATTCCCGTTAACATAGGGCCTGCTGGGACTTCACAGGAACATGCTAGGAAGCAGAGTATTTTGGTTTAAATCACCACCACCAGTTTTCATCTCCCTGCCCTGAGATACGGAACTTCAGTCCCTCTCAACAGGAGGCATTGTTTAAAGGAACAACCACGCACGCAAGCAAACAAGCTT